ACAAAGTCATTTGTACAGCCACTACAAAGGACGGACCAAACTAAAGGCTCTAATTGGTGTGGCTCCTAATGGTGTAATAACCTTTGTAAGCAACTTGAATGGTGGAAGTGCCTCAGATAAGGCCATAACAGCTGACTGTGGAGTACTGCAACATGTACAACCAGGTGACATGGTCATTGCAGATAAGGGCTTCACAATTCGGGACATCCTACCAGAAGGGGTCTGACTGAACATCCCGTCCTTCCTCACCAACGGACAATTCACACAGGAGGAAGTGAACAGCAGGAAGATTTCCTGTGCAAGAATACATGTAGAGCGTTCCATTCAAAGACTGAAACCTTTCTCAATTTTGCATCACATCCCACATCAGTTAAAAAAAATATTAATAAGATCTTGAAAGCATGTGTGTGTCTTACAAATTTACAAACACCTATTCTCCGTGAAATTGAATGAATTATACCTGTGAGAGTTCAGAGGGAAAAGTACATTGTGTCATTTTCTAACTACTTGTGGACCAGAAAATACAACTGTTGAATAAGTTTACTGTTATTATTTATAACTTCTAAGTGTTCTGGATTCTTTTGTGTGTATACTCAGGATGTTACACCATAAAAACAACTTAGTTGCATAGTTTCAAATTGAGAATGGTCTCATTTGTGATTCGTAAAATGTTTAATTTTACTCTGTTTTTATCAATGGCTTGTTATATTTTTCATTCCATTCCAGCTTCCTGATTACTGCCTAGTTTTCTTGCTAAACATTTTCAATTAAAATGAAGAATACCAGATACATGTCTTTTAATCTTTAAACAAATATTTTCTTTTTAAATGAGAAGGGAAAAGTTGTTTGGTGAGAATTGTCCTTAAAAATTTATTATTGCGTGCCTTTCCTTTAAATCGGCGATCATCAATAATTAAGGACGGTTCACGAATTATAGAGGAAGAATCGGTTAAACTGGCTTTAGCCATCTGAATCATTGCAGGGGGAATGGCCTTCACAACTTTAATGAATTTACTTTGAGTACATGATAAGCCATAATTATCTATGAATTTGTTATATGTTAACACATTTAAGTCATTGTCTAAAAGGTGTAAAACCATCCAAGTTCCATGACCCATCCAGTCCTTATAAAAGATGGATTTTCTTTGTATCAGTATACATCTGTTGTTCCAAATCGAATTTGTATGTGGAGAAAAATTATGCTTGTAAATCCTTTTCCAGTACTGGAGAACCTGTTTATGAAAATTGGATAATTTAATTGGTAATTTCAAAGTCACACTTTAAGAGAAATTCAATGCCACCAAGCTTCTCAAAGATTACTTTGGGGAAATAAAACCAAATACTGTTTGAGTTATTTATGAAAGACTGCAACCATTTGAGTTTGATGGAACCATCATTGCTTCAAAATAAATCGCATTCAAACCTCCTTCTTCAAATGACTTCACTACATCATTCTTCCTAACATAATGTTGCTTGTTTCTCCAAATGTAATTAATGTTAATGTGATTTATATTATTGATTAGTCTGTTGGAAACATATAAGCATTGTGATGGATAAATCAGTTGAGAGATACCTTCTGTTTTAGTAAGAAAGACGCGTCCAAAGATGGAGAGGTTGATTAGGCTCTTTTTAGATTTATGGGTAATATGCTCAAAATTTAGATTTTCTCTATTATCTGTATTCTTTGAGATTATAATACCCAAATATTTAATTTCAGTTTTAATAGCTATGTTAAGAGAGATACTGGGTTTACAATCATGAATAGTTAATAATTCGCATTTTCTAATATTCAGTGAAATTTCATTTAGTGCGAGAGGAACCTGTGACATGTTCTTTAAAAACAGTGTAGTATCATCTGCTAATTGAATTACGATCAACGGGGCTCCCATCAAATTCAGTGGTTGAATATTTGGATTGTGTTTCATGAAAATAGCTAAAAGTTCTGTTACAATAATGAAAAGTAACGGAGAAGCTGGACACCCCTGACTCCTCGACTGATGTTAAATCGTTCAGACGTTCCAAAAGGTAAAGAAATAGAACTATTGATGTCAGAGTATAATAGAGAGATTAAATCTATGAATTTTTTACCAAAACCAAAATACTGTGAAGCTTTTAAAATGAAAGGATGTTCGACCGTATCAAATGCCTTATAAAAGTCTAAAAAAAGAATCACACCATCATCTTCAATTAAGCGATTATAATCCAGTAGATCTAAAACATAATATTATTGTGGATAGAACGATTTTTAAGAACCCAGATTGTGTTTCACTAATAATCTGATCTAAGTCGTCCTTTAATCTGTTTGCAATAACATGAGCAAGAATTTTATAATCTGTATCCAATAGAGTAACTGGTCGTAGATTATCGATTAATCTTTTATCTTTACCAGGTTTGGGAATAAGGGAGATAAGACCCTGTTTCATTGTCGTTGCTAACGTTTCATTACTAATGATTTCACTAATAGTTTGGAAGAAAAATTGTTTTATTTCTTTCTAGAAGAATTTATAAAAGATGGCAGTCAAGCCATCCTGACCAGGAGCTTTGTCCATTTTCAGTTTGTTTAAGGCTTGATCTCAGTCATCCAGTCATATATCAGAGTCACAAATGTCTCTGAATGCAGAATCGATTTTTCAATCTGATCAAAAAAACTTAATGAATCAGTAATTAAATATTTAGGCGAGTGTAAATTTGAGTAAAATTTATGTTTTTCTTCTGCTATAGTCTTATGATTTGTGCATTCCCCCCCATTTACGATTAATGTCTTAATAGATTTCTTTTCTTGCCTCCGTTTCTCCAGATTGTAGAAATATGAAGCACTTTTTCACCTTCTTCTTTCCATTTTGCACGAGCTCTAATGTAAGCTCCATGAGCCTTTTTCTTGTATAGATCATCTAATTGAGCCTGTAAAGACAACAGGGATTTCTTATCAGCCTCTGACATAAACTGTCTATTACAATAGTTATTTATATTGTAAAGTAATTTACTTTCAAATTCCTTCTGTTGTCTACTTTTCATTTTACTTTACACTACTTTACAACTGCTTAGTTCGCCATCGTGCCGGCCCCACGCTTCCAGCTTTATTTGTGAAGAGCACAGCAGCTTACAAAACACGTAGCGAGCTCGTACAGCTGTTTTCATAAACTAAGATGACCTTAAAATAACGGAGCTACGTGCGGTGATGCTAGCGTTAGCCATGTTAGCACGTTACCATCAAAAACGATTTAAATAAAATTTAAATAAAATAATCAGAAAACATTAGTGAGTTCAGCTTTTTATGTTCATCAGTAACAACAAGAACAGAAATGTGTTGAACGTTATTAAATATCCCAATTCTTTGATCTTTGGGCTGAAGGAAGAACAACACTCGGTGTTTAATGCTCAACAATCTCTTTATTCCATACAAACACTTAGAGCATTACAAACGGCCGGACGGGAGATGTGCACAGGAGGGTGTCCGGCAAGATCTCCAAGTGTCTGACCATTTCTCACATTCTTAGAGCTTCAGGCCCAAACTAAGCCTTCACATTCTTTCTCTCAGTGAGCCTACGTTACGATCTTGGCTTCCTGTGCAGTATGTTTTGTTCTTTCTAATCAGACAAATAAGCGCATGATTCTACACAAACAGCATTTCTTATTAATCAGCAGTATAATGCATCATAAAACAGTGTAATACCCCATTCCTGTTTTTCTCAGAATAAACAATTAATTTTATTACTTGTACGTGGGGATTTTCACATCAAATCCACTGGGGCAGTTCCAGCAGCACATTGATACACAGAAATCAACAACCTTTTTCTCTCAAAAACTAGGTGCCTGCTAGTCCCTCTCTAGTCTAAACAACAGTGTTTCACTAACTTTCTCCTAGAAGATGGTCCCGTTATCTACTTTCTCCCAGGCCGGCGTGGGCGAGAGTCTGCACCATTCTACCCCCCAAGGACACGTAGTCTAATGCCTCTATTTTCAGGGCTGTGTCCACTTAACACTACACTATATGGTTATTTGGCATTTTAGTCAATATAAAGCATAGAATTGAGGCACTTCAAATAATTTCATCTCAACACTGCAGGTCTCCAACCTTACAAACAGGACATTTGTGTAATACCTGACCCACTGAATGAACAACGGGCTGTGGGGTCAGTTTATGACCATTAATATGTAATTTTTTGTATATTTAGGACAAAGCAATTTCATAATTTCATACCTGAAACGGTTTCACACAGCATTTTTCTGGAGCTATTAATCTTATTTTTATAATATTCTGTACAGTTTCTCTTTTTATCCCTTATAGACACATTTTTCTTCTACTCCCAGGTGAACATATGTGAGATTTTTCTCATCCCTTTAGATTTATTAATTATACTATACACTCTGATGGTGAGGAAATGCACCAAATTTCATTCTGATGTGCGCTAACAATCATGGTTACAGTTACGTTTGGTTAACGTGATGACTGAGTATGTGGAAATCTGGCACTCTTTCCACTTCTTGATTAGAGAAGAGTTTATTTCCCACTTCCATCATAAAGAGGAAGGTTAAACTATCATGCTTCACCTTTTGTCTATAAACAAATTTTCAGTTAATTTAAGAGCAGGATAAGCAGCTCAGAGTCAGCTTCAACACCATCTATTCCATTCTGTGAATGTATATTTGCTCCATTTATTTAACTGTGCGAGCAACAGAACAAAAGGAAATCTGTCGGTATGCAACACTCTGATCCATGCTCCCATCCTGCTGGCAGTCCATTATTAACTCAGATTTAAACTACAGGTAATCCTGTGCTTCTTACAGCTACTGCAAACACATCAGCAGTTCCAGGACAAATTTCCAGCTCATGAATCCTGAAGATCTCACAAACTCTCCTGGAAAACATCACCTTCAGCAAAGTCATGACCCCACAAGCTGATGGAAGCTTCTGGAACAGCACCGCCCAAAATCTTTAGTGTGTTCGGCCTCTGAACCAGGTGGAGAGTTGAGTGCTGTGAGTGGGAGTCAGCATCACTTCAGTTCAGCTTCAAGGTCTCGTGGAACTTGGTGAGGATTTCATCAAAACAGTCATCTCTGGTCATCTGCTCCACGATCTGACGGACTCCGTTCTCTAAAGCCCGATAGTACCTCCTCACCTCCTCCAGCTCACACCACAGTCGTTTCTCTAACTGCTGTTTCTCCTCCCGAGCCTCCGTCAGCTTCTTCTCGTACTCTGACTTCACCTTGTCTTCTTCCTCCGTCAGCTTCTTCTCGTAGAACTCTCTGAGCTCTGACTCTCTCTGTTTCAGCATCTCCTCCACCTGCAGGTAGGTTTTGTTGGAGTAAGACTCTCCTCCGTTGTCGGCCACCATCTTGTCCACCTTCTCCAGCAGGTTCAAGACTTGGCGACGGTCGTTGGCTCTGAGATTGTTGAAGACGTGGTATCTGTTTCCAGCCTTCATCAGGACCTCCTGCAGCTCAGGTCCCGACTCCTCCTTTATGAACTCATCAAAGTCTTCTTCGACTTTGTCTCCGTGGGTGAAGAGGATCATGGTGTACCTCCAGGCACCCTCTCCAAAGATCTCCTCCACCTTCTTCACGGCGTCTCGTTCCTCTGCAGAGAAGGGTCCCACCCTGATGACCAGCAGGATGGCGTGGGGCCCCGGGGCCGACATGTTGATGCATTTGGAGATCTCCCTCTTCACGGCGTCTTCAGACATCGTGGTGTCGAAGAGGCCGGGAGTGTCCACCACAGAGATGGTCCTCTGGAACAGCTTCTCCTGCTGCTTGGAGCACTCAGCCGTCACTGAGGAGGAAACAGATCAGTTAGACTGAATTTACATGAAGCACGAACACAGACTTCACCTGAACATGAAGAAGGCTGTGCAGAGATCACCTAACAGAGGCTGGAATGTAAATATGGGTCTCATACTGGACTCTGCTGGTCTTTAACCTGAACACTTCTGGACTGTAGTGACGTGAGAACACACAGCCTGGTTCTGTAATCATTATAGAGCATAGGTGTCAAGCAGCCTAACTACATTTGGCCCGCGAAGCCATACCAAATTACTATCAGAGCTGGCCTACTGGTATTATACAGCTAATATATATATTGTTTAGTATTAAGCTTTGCTTGTTCCATATTCAGTTTTTCAGCAAAACGTGTTTGAGTCCATAAGAAAAGATTCATTCTTATATCTGGAGGAAGTTTTTTTTTTTTCAATAAATATTAATGTCAGCCCGCGACTTTGTTCCAGTTTTGAATTTTGGCCCACTGTGTATTTGAGTTTGACACCCCTGTTATAGAGGCTTCGGTCCGAGAAGCTTCTTCAGTTCAAATTCAAATTTTATTTGTCACACACATAATCATACACAGTACAACATGTGGTGAAATGCTTATTGCTCTGCAATGCCAGACCATTAAATGACAGTAAAGAATTTAAAGATTTACAGATTATGACAAAATTTACAGATTTTAACTTAGAAATTTACAGTAAGAATAGGATGTGCAAATAACGATTTACAAAATAAATTATAAGAAGCGTGCAAATAAACAGAGCGTGTCTGGTGCAGCGATGTATGAGAGTCCAGTCCTACACCTGGTTCAGGCCCCGAATAGCCTGGGGGAAGAAGCTCCTCCTCATTTCCTCTGTTTTGGCCTTAAGGGAGCGGAAACGCTTCCCAGACCTCAACAGTGAGAAGAGTCCATTGTTGGGATGGGAGAGGTCCATCATAATCTTCCTAGCTTTGGACTTGCACCGCTTGGTGTAGATGGACAGCAGGTCACGGAGCTCTGATTGAATGATGCGTTCGGCCGAGCGTACCACCCTTTGCAGATCTCGTCTGTCCTGCTTGGTGCTGTTCCCAAACCAGGTGCAGATGTTTGCCGTCAGGACGCTCTCGATGGTGCAGGAGTAGAAGTTCTTGAGCACCTTCAGTGGCAGATGGAAGTCTCTAAGTCTTCTGAGGAAGAAGAGACGCTGACGGGCTTTCTTAACCAGGGAGTTGATGTGGCAGGACCATGACAGGTCCTGAGTGATGTGGACACCCAGGTATTGGAAACTGTCCACTCTCTCCACTGGCGTGCCACTGATGATGAGGGGTTTGTAATTCCTCGCCTGCTTTGTAGTGAAGTCCACGATCAGCTCCTTAGTCTTGCTGATGTTTAGGAGGAGGTTATTCTCCTGGCACCAGGTCTCCAGGTTCCTAATCTCCTCCAGGTAGGCCGTCTCGATGTTGTCGGAGATCAGGCCCAAAACAACAGTGTTGTCAGCAAACTTGACAATGGAGGTGGTGTCGGATGTGGCTACACAGTCATAAGTGTACAGTGAGTACAGCAGGGGGCTTAAAACACAGCCCTGAGGCACTCCAGTGCTGAGTGAGATGGAGACTTGTTTTCCCACCCTCACTGATTGGGGTCTGTCTGTGAGGAAGTTGAGGATCCACTGACACAGTGATGAGCTGAGTCCTAGATCTGTCAACTTGGTGAATAGAATAGAATAGAATAGAAAAGAAAAGCTTAGAGGGAATTATTGTGTTGAATGCTGAACTGTAGTCCAGTCAAACTGAAGTGGGTCAATGGTGGCAGAAAGTGAAGAAGTGATGTGATCTCTTATCAGTTTCTCAAAACACTTCATCACTATTGAAGTCAGTGCTACTGGGCGGTAATCATTGTGGCAAGCGGGCTATTGTTTCTCCGGACAGGGACAATGATGTACTCTCTGAAGCATGTGGGGACCACTGCTTGGGCCAGAGAAAGGTTGAAGATCTCCGTGAACACTGGTGCTAGCTGGTCAGCTGACCAGAACTGGTGGAGAGTCCCAGATTTAAGCCTAGTGGGAGTAACCCCCCACAGAGGGACAAAGGACCCCTGATGATCCTCTACCTAATCGCCTGAGCCAAGGTGTGAAACTGGGTGTGGGTCCCAATCAGCCAGAGTTTCGGGTGGGTTCATTGTGAAACCTGGCCCCACCTTATCATGCGAATTCCTGAGGTCAGATGGCCCAGGATGTGAGTGGGCGTTAAGGCGTCTGGGAAGGGATCTCAAAACTGGATTATAGATGGCAGAGAGTTGGTGTCGTAAACCCCGCCTCTGTTCAAAGATGGTCGTTCACAGTGGACATAGAAGCTTCTTTCACTCCTCTTTCAAACCATCTGTCCTCTCTGTCCAAAATGTGAACATTGGCATCCTCAAAGAGTGACCTTTGACCTTTAGATGCAGATGGACTGCTGAGTCTTGTCCTGTGGAGGTGGCTCTTCTGTGTTGTGCCATGCGCTTGTGAAGTGGCTGTTTGGTCTCTCCAATGTAGAGGTCTGAGCATTCCTCGCTGCACTGTACAGCATACACCACATTGTTAAGTTTGTGTTTTGGATAGTAGATTCTGTTCATCTGGATGTTTTCAGTGGGAGAAACGTTTCATCATCATCCAGGTGGCTTCTTCAGTCTCAGCTGACTGCAGGTTTCAACCTTATAAACACAATGATGGAAACCAGCACCACTGAAGGAACAATGGGCTGGGAGGTCAGATTATGATCATTAATATGCAAATTCTCATGACCATTGATCAACAACCACTGATCAATAACCATGAGTACCATTCACAGAGAGCTGGGGAACGGCTGCAATCACAGCATTGTAAGATGGTGACAGATGGACCCTTGGGCCCCTCCTCCATTCAGAGATGGTCTTTCACGTAAATGGCCTCCTTGACTCCGCCCTCAACCCAGCGTTCCTCCCTGTCCAGGATGTTACATCCTCGTCCACTGTGTGTGTGTGTGTGTGTGTGTGTGTGTGTGTGTGTGTGTGTGTGTGTGTGAGCATCTACACATGTGTGTGTGATACCTGAGGAATGACTGGACGCAGCTCTGAAGGCCTCTCTTCCCAGGATGGTGTTTCCACTGGAGCTCTTTCCTTCTCCAGTCTTCCCGACCAGAACCAACCTGAGTGACACTGAACACAGACACACAGAGATCAGATCGTATATGCGGGACATTCCAGGCTGATCTACAAAGGACGGTATTAGCTGATTTTTAAATATCACATGACCAAACTGTTTTCTGTTCTGACTGAGAGCTGACAGGAGGTGCTGTGAGGGAGCACAACTAGAGCTGTACGATATTCGTCTTGTAACCGGAAGGTTGAGGAGCAGCTTCAATATAACCAAGCCTGCAGAACCAGCTGAGACCAGCTCACACTCATGCTGAGCTTAAATCCTTCACCATCCACCTGCCAGCTTTTCTTTGGTCTTAAGTTATCATGTGTTAGTCAGAGCTCGTTCGTGTTTATGGTTCCTGTTTCTTCTGGAACATAAAATTGAAGAGACCACACCTGTTGGAGGCTCGTGTTTACTGCTTCTCCTCGTCCTCCCTCCTGCTGCTCCTGCACACACACACACACACACACACAGTAATCTTTTACATGAAAGTGAAAGTAACTGAAATTAAAAACTGCGTCACCCACGAAAAACCCGCTCAAACTGCGTTTTTCACCAAAAACTAACCAGTAAACTACACGCACGCGCACGCCCGCACACACGTACAGGTGTATATTAATGAAGTGTCCTCTGTGTTCGGACAGTTTGATGACTTTGTTCGGACAGTTTGATGACTTTGAGAAGCGCAGACGGAGAACAATGATTGGATCGGCTTTAATTAAGATGATTTCCACACACACTCACCGGACTGTTCCTCCGAGGCCATCACACCTGCTCTCACAAATTCACCTGTTTATCAGTTATTTGTTCGAAACTTCGCTCAGTAAGAAGGTCCCACTGAGCCGCCCTTTTCCGGTCTCACCTTCAAAATAAAACGGTGGAGTCCGGACCGCGGGATGGTTCAGTTTCATTCTTGGGGAAAGATCCAGGCTTCATATTCTTGTCTGTTAGTGATGACTGAACCCAGGACAGCTGGAATAATTACCTGCTCAGGTGCACTGTCGGACTAAGCAGCTTTACATCACCTAGGTTCAGATCGGTAACACAACCTTAAAAGAGGGCGGAGTCATCTGCTGTGATGGAAACTAAAGCTCAGGCGAATCACGATGTGTTAATATCACAACTGGCCTTCGTTTAGAACCGGGGATAAAAAATAAACTGGTTCAGATATTTAAAATGTTTTCTAGTGAAATACTAACGACTCTAGTAATTTTATTTTGAAGAGCACTCCTGTTTCCGGTGTCAGCAGTTCGCCCTTCAGTCAAGAAGACGGAACCACAAAGAGGAGGAAACGGCCTGAAAAGTTCAGATGTGTTTCCGGGTCTCTGCGCTTTTGTTTCTGCGTGTCGGTGTGAGCAGCTTCACCTGGACAGGTGAGTGCAGCGGGACCACGGGGACCAGCAGGGCTCAGGTGTGACCGGCAGTGAGGGCCTCGGCAGACGAACCCACAGACAGGATCGTGTTCGTCTTCAGGTGTACACATCTGCGCATGCCCGAGTCTCCGCGAGGCCTCCACAGACACTCGCGTTCACAGTAAGTTGGGTGTGAGTGCGTGGGGCGCGTTATCAGAGATTTCAGTCATATGTGTTCACCTCAGTAAAGTTGGTGAAAGAACAGGAAGTAACCCCAAAGATTAAAAAAGAGAAGAAACGTTTCATTCACGGGCTCTTTGTGGACGTAAACACTGTGGACTAACAGCTGAGGTTGGGCGAGTGGACGAACATGTCGACAACAGGCCGACCCTTTCACCGATCGCTTTATTTATTTATTCGCCCATGAGTAAGTTTGGTACTAATGTTGGTTGACCCTAAGAGAAGCAGTCAACGGAAAATAATAGTGCTGTTTTAACAGCTCCCTCCCACAGTGCGCCCAAATGCAGCAGCGATTCAAACTCAGAACAGAAAGAAAGGACGGCAGCAGCCTGTGATCAGAAAAACACAAAAACCGTTTATTTAAACAAAAAACCACAATGTTGGGGAGAGAAACTGGCTTCTTTTCCACTATAACTGTGTTTACAGACCGTTCCAGTGTTTCTGTCTGACACACTACACCAAACAGCAAATACAAAATTAAACAAAAAGTTAAAATCAAAATGAGTCTTCCAGTGAACATAAAAAAATCTCACACACGTCTTTTGTGCGATTCAGCGCGTCTCAAATGAATAAATAAATCAATAAATGAATTATCCAAAGAGTAGCTATGTTACTACTGAAACAAACAAGAAAAGAAGTAAAGATTAAATATTCCCTCCAGACAAAACTAAATGCGCAAATCAGTCCGTGCATGATCACATTCCTCCGCCCATAAAAAAGTCTGCGCCTGTGCGAATATATCGTTGGTTAATGGACCGACAATTTTTATATGTCGCCCACCCTTAGTAACAACCAGGCTCAGTGTCTTTGAAGATTCTCATTCATCCAGGTCATCGTGGCCTAAGGAGCTTGGAAAGGGTCACATGGTGGAGAGTCCACCAGTCCAGGTCCCACTCATGTCTGTGGAGATGTTTACCACATCAGCTCATTGATGTCACTCTAAAGGAAGAGAACACCTGTGAAACGCTGTGTGCACAGTGCGTGGATGTAATCGTGTATACTGGTTACTGATGTGCCAGATGTTTATATAGATAACATCTGTTTGCTGAGTGCAGCTACAGCACACTAACTCCTCCCACTCTAATGTTGATGAGGTCTGTATCTGATCAGTCTGTTACCTGGATGCTAGGTGTCACTGGAAGGGTGGGGATGGTGTATGTGTTAATATTAATAATGGTGTATTTCCACTGTGGTATGAGTTGTGTACATACTGCAGAAACAGCAGTATTATTCAGTCACACATGATGTTACGGTGCATATTTACAGGTGCCATGTTTGTTAGTACCATGTTTATAATCCTTTTATTGAGCTATATTTATCCAACATTAAGGTTCCTGTAACCCTGTGCTGCTCTTAGAGTCCTGCTCTGTCTGCTCTCACCCATGTGTTGACTCAGTTTGGTTGTTATAATCAGAAGTCACTAGGAGATAGCGGTGCAACGAATCAAAAATGTCGCGGTTCGGATCAATGTTCGGATCAGCAAAAAAAGGAAAAAGACAAAAATGTAACATTTACTTCACTTACTGAAGTATTTTTGCCTGTTAAAAACATTCAGCTCTAGACTCATTCCACGCAATTATAAAAAAAACAAATGATGGTACAATATGGGGCAGTACGGTCTTTGTATCTACCACTCAATTCAGTTTTATTTATAAAGCGCCAAATCACAACAACAGTCGCCTCAAGGTGCTTTATAATGTAAGGTCGACCCTACAGTGATACACACCGCTCTTTATATCGCACTCCACTGTGATATAATGAGCGGTCACGGTCACGTAGCTTTCCGTTGCCCTGGAGCTCCACCCATTTGTAGCAGTTTGGGCAACAGAAGATGTCTGGGACAGTTCAGCCATGACTTAAATCTTTTCCTGCTCATACTTGCTTGGAACAATCTGCCAATAATTCTGCCAGCTTCTTTCACCACCCGCTGGAGTGCTTGCTGATCGGCCTTGGTGCAGCTGGGGAACCACACTAGAAATCCATACGTCAGAACGCTGCTGATGGCACAGTTGTAGAAGTTCAACATCAGAGATCTGGGAATGTGTGCGCTCCGCAGTCTCCTCAGGTAGTAGAGGCGCTGTTGGGCCTTCCGTACAACTGAGGTGATATGGTTGCCCCAGGACAGGTCCTCGGTCACAGTTACCCCCAAGAATTTAAAACTGCTCACCCTCTCCACCGCCTCACTGCCAATGAAGAGAGGCAGATGGTTGTGATGACCCCTCTTCCGGAAATCTACAATGATCTCCTTGGTCTTTTTGGTGTTTAAGACCAAGTTATTGTCGTGGCACCATGACTCTAGTTGTTGCACCTCTGTCCTATAGTTTGTCTCATCATTGTTGGATATAAGTCCGAGCACTGTAGTGTCATCTGCAAACTTAACAATGAGATTGGACGCGCAGGAGGAAATACAGTCATGGGTGAAGAGAGTGTATAGCAGAGGGCTCAGGACACACCCCTGAGGGGCACCGGTGTTGACCACAAGGGTGGAAGAGGTGTTCTTACCCACTCTGACACTCTGTCTACGGTTAGTGAGGAAGTCCACAATCCAGTTGCACAGAGAGGAGTTAAGTCCCAGTTGGTGGAGTTTGGGACGGAGTTTGTATGGCCGGATGGTATTAAAAGCCGAGCTGTAGTCTACAAAGAGGAGCCGTGCATAGGTGTTCCTGTGTTCCAAGTGCTTCAGTAATGTGTGCAGCACTGTGGCAATCGCATCCTCGGTTGACCGGTTCTCCCTGTATGCAAACTGGTGCGAGTCCAGGGATGGTGGAAAAGCAGCTCTGATGTGTTTAATGACCAGTCTCTCCAGGCATTTGGCGGGAATGGGGGTGAGTGCCACAGGTCTGAAATCGTTCAGACATGTGACATTTGACTGTTTTGGGATGGGAACGATGGTTGCTGCTTTGAAACAGGATGGTACCAGTGAACAGGACAACGAGGTGTTATATATAGAGGTGAAGACGTCCGCCAGGTCCACAGCACAGTCTTTTAGCACCCGGCCCAGCACTCCATCCGGCCCGGCCGCCTTCCTGGTGTTAATGCTCCGGAACACACGCCTCAGCTCATGAGTGCTCAGGACCGGAGCAGGGTCGGTTGAGGGGAGAGGGGACAGGACAGGGTCGGTGTTCTCCCTGTCAAAACGGGCATAAAAGAGATTTAGATCCTCAGCCAGAGTAGGACTGTCGGCTGAGGGTGATGGTGTTCTCCTTTTGTAGTCCGTGATAGCCCTGATGCCCTCCCAGACCTGCCTTGGGTTTGTGTTGTTCTCAAACCTGGCCTCGATACGCCTCCTGTGCTGCTGCTTGGCAGTCTTGATGCCTCTTCTCAGGTTGGCCCTGGCAGCACTGTATGCCTCCTGGTCCCCGGATTTGAAAGCGTTGTTCCTCGTTCCTCTGTAACGTCAGAGGTGATGTTCATATGTTGATTAATGGTTTTCTTTCGTTTTTGATGTACTGCAGAATATTTTTATAAAATCCAGAACAGGAAAATCTCCTTCATGTTTTTCTGTTTTATCTTCCGCTACTTTGACACAAAGGCCTCTGCTGTGACGCTCACACCTGTGATAAAGTCTTGAGTGTGTCAGCTTCCTTTTTATTGATACAAAAATATGTAAATGTACTGATCTGAATTGTATTTCTGACTGTCAAAATTTCCCAGATTCAAATCGAATCGAATCGAATCGATTCGGTACCTTGTGAATCGGAAACTAATCGATTCTAGAAATCAGTGACGATACCCAGCCCTACAATCTTACCACTAAAGTGGACGCACAACGGGATATCATAGCGTGGCACAAGCATGTTCATCATAGTTTAAACCGCTTGTTTTGCACACGACCTCCCGTCTGCAGCTAACACCCCAACAGCTTTTGTAATAGCTTCAGCCCGGTCGGATCGGGCAGCAAAGGGCTGCTTAAATACCGCAAACTCCTCTGCTCCTCCACTTGGAACGCTAGCGCTGACCATAACTATCACTTGACAGACTGACCACGCCACCATACACATACTTTTTTTCTTCTTTTCCGTTGCACCACTACTAGGAGATATACCCGTCACGATCAGCATCGTTCTGCCCTGCGTTAGCCAGTCTGGATGGGTATCCGCTGTTAGTTCCTCAGCCAGTAGGTGTGGATCATGTCAGGTCATATTTCTGTTGTATGTTTGTACTTTTATTTAAACCTCTTTAATTATTATCTGTACTATGTGGTATAGCACAACAGGCAGACTTGCACAGAGTAATATGGTGATGCACCACCACAGTCACCACACCTGTGCTCTCTCCTGCAGGTCTCTGACGTTCAGCCATGGATGATCATCTCTCCATCGTCCTCCTGGGAAAAGTTGGAGTTGGTAAAAGTTCTTCAGGAAACACCATCCTAGGACGAGCAGCGTTTGAGTCCAAACTGTCCCTCAGACCAGTGACCAAACTCATCTGTGTGGAAACGGGAACTGTGTTTGGGAAGCAGGTCTCAGTGATCGACACTCCAGAGATATTAGGATCAGAGCAGCAGGTCCAGACCTTCTGTCAGTGTGTCCTGCAGTCTGTCAGACCTGTTCTGTTCCTGCTGGTGATCAGAGTGGGTCGGTTCACCGAGGAGGACCACAGGGCCGTGGAAGCAGCGAGCAGAGCGGTCGGGCCTCACAGGCTGGAGAAATGTTACCTGCTGTTCACGGGTGGAGATGAACTCAAGACATCAGTGGACGATTATGTTTTACAGAACAGAACAAGTTCACTTCCAGATGTTGTAAAAAGGTTTTCACAGAGAACTCACCTGTTCAACAACAAAGATGAAGGACGGGAACAAGTGAGAGAGCTGCTGCTGAAGGCGGAACACCTCCCCACAGGTAAGAGCTGACCTCCATGAGACAGATGCTGCTGTGGGCACGTCTGTGCTGAGTGTGGGCAAACAGCTGCTCACAGCTGGATTTGCACTCTGTCAGAGAGCTGATGGTGCCACACCAGGCATGTCAAAGTGAATTTACACTGAGGGCTACATACAGCACTCTCTGTAAGTTCAACTACTCATTTAATCAACATAACATTACAAAGAAACGCTGCTCTGGTGGTGGTGTGGGAGTCTGTATCAGAGAAGCTGTCAAATAATACAATCCTGTGGAAGTTGCTAAATGTTTGGCCTCCTTTACATTTTCAAAGATGTCCGGTGGAGTCTTTGATGGGCCAGTTGTGGGCCCCGGGCCTTATGTTGGACCTCCCTGTGCCGACCAAAGATCAGCTCAGTGCTGAGAGCAGCTGCAGCTCTCCATCACAGATAATGTCAGAGCTGCTGCTGAGGTCACATGACCAGTGTCAGTTTGTTCTCAGGCTGTGAGCTGCAGACAAACTGCAGGAAACACTTCCACTCATGATGGTCTGATCTTCTCCTACAGGTGGAGCAGAACTCAGGATGGTGCTGGTGGGGAAAACAGGAGTTGGGAAGAGTGCATCAGGAAACACCATCTTAGGAAGAAGAGTCTTTAGATCTACAGCATCTTTTTCCTCAGTAACATCAGAGTGTGAGAAAGAAACCGGTCTGTTTGACGGTCAGACCCTGACTGTGGTTGATACTCCAGGTCTGTTTGACACCTGTAGAAGTCAAGAGGAGAGAAAGATAGAGATCGCTAAATGTGTCGCATTTGCTGCTCCTGGTCCTCATGTGATCCTGGTTGTGATCCAGGCTGTCAGATTCACTGGAGAAGAAAAAGAAACAGTGAGAATCATTCATCAGATGTTTGGAGAAGAAGTAGCAGGTTACACCATGATCCTGTTCACCCGTGGAGACCATCTGGAGGATGTGAGAGTCACCATAGAGGAGTTTATCACACAGAATCCAGCTCTCCATGACTTCATCCGTCAGTGTGGTGGAAGATATCATGTTTTTAACAACAGAAGCAGAGATCCTGCTCAGGTCAGAGAGCTGCTGAAGAAGATCAACACCATGGTTCAGAGAAACGGAGGAAGATACTACAGCACTGAGATGTTCAGAGAGGCTGAGAGAGCCATCAGAGAAGAAGAGATGAGACGCCTTCAGAGAGAAAATCATGAGATGTTAGCAGACAGGCTGAGAGAGATGCTACGACCTCAGAGAGAGAATCAGCCGCAGTGTGTTCTTCACTGATCTTCATCATTAATTATTATTAATCATCGTCATGAAGACAAAGAAGGAAAATGTTTATTTAACCTGATTAAAAACTGACAGTCTGATCATGTGATTGTTATTATTAAACAGCTGTTTGATCCTGTGATCATTCTGATTGGTGATGTTATTGATCAGCTCCTCTGATTGGATCCTGTTGATTATATATATCATTAGTGTTGATGTAAACTTCCTGTCAGCAGTTTAAACCATGTTTCATTCAACCGTCACGTGACTGTGACGTCAGCAGTGAGCAGAGCGCCCCCTGTTGACCTGCACAGTTTCTGACCAATGGGATCACAAAGCTTCCGTGCGTCCTTCAGCAGAGGAGACACTGGAGCATCCTTTGTGAAGGGGAGGAGGAAACGCCGTCCCATAATTCATAGCGACGGAGCGTTCAAAGTAAAGAGCACCATCGTGTACACCTTCATCACTGTTTTCATTTCATCCAGAAGCTGCTGATGTGCTCAGTTTGTATCAGCAGCCGCTACACTCACAGCTCAACCCGCTGCAATAAAACTTCTTCCTGTTGACTCTGAAGGTTATGTTCCAGATTAATGGTTGTAAATGGTAAACGGCCTGTATTTGTGTAGTGCTTTACTACCCTAGGGACCCCAAAGCGCTTTACACATTCAGTCATCCACCCATTCACACACTGGTTGTGTGTGATTGTGCAGCAGCATCAGTGCGTTTAGTGCAGTAAACTGTGTCGACTGCAGTTCACATGTTGTGTTTGTGAAGGTGAAACTAATAGAAGTGGTCCTGTGCTCAGGTTTGAGCCCCAGCCGGACTCTGAGCCTCTCTGTGAGCAGACGTGGATTACTCGATTACTCTGCAGTGCACAGAAACATCCACTGACTGCTGTGAGGTCTGTGAGCGGCCTCTGCTTCCTGAAACATCACTGACCCAAACCCGCTCAGCTCCTTCAAAGTGAATCACATGGATGTTGCTCACATTCATTACAGCACTAATAACACGACTCATCTCTTTATTCATACTTAGTGACGTGTGTCCATGCTTTTATTTAATGGTGTCGTGTTTCCAGAAGTGACATAGTGAAAGTAAAGCTCAGTCCTTCGTAACATCTGGCGAGGCATCACGCAATGTTCCCTCTAAGCTGTGCGCGTGCGCAGTTGCAGACTGCTGGCACGGTCTCTGTGCACAGAAAAAAAATCTCACCTGAATTGAAATTAAGGCTACGTCCACACCAGGGGCGGAGCGTGGGGGTGGCTTACTGGGCTTAAGCCCGGGTTGTTTTGTCAGAAGCCCGGGGTCTTTTGGAGTGTAATTTTTTCATAGTTAGATGCCTGGCTGACAACTGTATAAAACAAAAAGTACACACAATATTCGAAGCACATAGCGCACACTGTGGGAATTTACGACTGTGCGTGAATCCCCCCTGATATTGGTATGATCCGAGCTCAGGCACTAAGCGACTGAGCGAGGGGGCGGGGCAGCTGCTGCCTGTGAGTGCGCTGTTGGAGAAACGCAGCCAGCCATACTAAGGAGAGCTTAAGTTTGAGCAGGTACCAAAGCAAATCATTCGTACCGTACAAATAATGTAAATATGACGGTGCATCACGAAAGATTGATATCAAACTGATCACTTGACCCATATTACGTTACTCGCTCTTCAAGTGAATCAACAAATGGCGAAATGAAAAGCCGAACAAATGCTATTTTTTAGAGAGTCTCAGCTTACGTGTGTTTATTTCATATTTTCAGTTCTTACCCTCCCCGACTAAATCGGTTTCAGTTATGTACTGAAATATAAGAATGGACATTAGAGGCTTCTTTCAAAGAAAAAACTCAGGTAAATGTTATTTTATATATTATGCTTTGTATGTTGTTCAGTATATTTCTATGCAAAACAAGAGGGATTTCAGTACACAGCAGGATATTCACATTTATAACCAGATATTTACACTTTAGGGAGAAAACATAAAACATTTTTACTGTACAACATCAATTTAGATAAACTTTAGTTTTAGATAAATATTGAAATATATTTTGAATTAGTTAAATGTCAGAATAAAGAGAGACAGAGCTTTCTGTTTTTTATCACTTTTCATCAAATTTAGGAGCACATATACACTAAGTTTATTGTTAATTAATAAGAAACTGCAGACGATTCCATTCTGAGCTGAAGAAGCTTCTGATTGGTTCGTAGAGTCCATGTGAGTAAATTGGTGGCACAGCTGTGGATGCATATAAGACACCCCCAAAACACAGAGCCTGTTTCTGTGACATGGGAACATCAAGAGATGTCAACCAAAACAGCAGGAACAGAACTGTGGAGCTGCATAAGTGTGGCTCAGTTTGAATACAATTTGGTGCCATTTACAAGAAATACAGATAGTTTCTCTCTTTACTCTTAAAGTTAACAAATATGTTTTTATATTTATCTAAAAAATAAACATTTAGTCTGATTTGATGTTACAATTAAAAAAGTGTTTTTATCTGAAGAGTAAATATCTGGTTTCAACTGTAGATTTGATGATTGTCAGCACAAAGAGGGAACAAGAGCAGGTGAGACACACCTGTTAGTCACATGGTTGTTTGCCAAAAGTATCACCGTATCACAGGTCCTCATGTATCTCGTACCTCGTGTTTCTTTTTAGGTTTGTTATTTTTCAAATTCTATATTTATTAAGTTCTGCAGCTTGTTTGCACAACAAGGCTAAATAATTATAGAAACTTTTCTCAATCTAAATATTGTACTTTGGTAGAATTAAAAAAACAAGTGTAGTGCAGGTCTATGATGGTTTTTAGTGCTACTATCATCTAGTTCTGATTCTGGTTCTGTCTTGGTTAAGTCCTCAGTAGTCCTGATTTTGAGGTGTTGTAGTCCGGTTTTAATTCCGGATCAGTTCTGGGTCTGGTTGAATTGGGGTTTAGTCCCTGTGTCTTGATACAGCCCGACTTTGTTCTGCCTCGCTGCTTAATTAAAAAACTAGTTTAAGGTGTCCTGCACATGTGATATATATTTTCCCTATATGAAGTCATTCTTTTTTGAACAAAACTCAAAACAGAACCTATTAATCTTTCAGTCATTTCTACGCCCCCCCCCCCCCCCCCCCCAAAAAAAAAAAAAAAAAAAAAAAATCCCACATGCACACCACCCTTTAGGGCTAAGCCCCGGGTGTTTCAAATGTCTGGCTCCGCCTCTGGTCCACACGTACACGGGTATTTTTGAAAACAGAGATTTTCCGTTTTAAAAAATAATCCCGTCCACACATAAAGGCAGAAATGGAGGAAAACGCTGCTATGAACATGCCAAAGCAGCAGGTGGCGCTATATTCCTAACCGTGTAGAAATGTTGGCCAATCAGAAGTCTGGAAGCCTCGGTGGGAAAAAGTAAACAAAGCTGGGGCATAGAAGCAGAACCGAGTCGTATGTGTGGAGGGACAGTAACTGTGTGTATATGTAAGCATTTAAACACTGCAGAGAGTAGAATTAACAGTATTGTAGAAATTCATTTCACCGAAACAATAACGTGGCGCACAGTGTGACGTCAAAAAAGGCGCACACCTTTGACGCTGCGTTTTCTGCGTTTTCTCAGTTTTTCTCGTTCACACGTAAATGTAAAAACAGAGTTTTCAAAAATATCCACTCTGGCTGGAGTTTTTAAAAATCTCCGTTTTCAGTGACCGAAAACGCCGTTTAAGTGTGGACGGAAGGTGCAAACGCATAGAAACATCTGCGTTTTCAAAAATACCCGTTTACGTGTGGACGTAGCCTAAAATTAATACGTTAACGATCCTGTTTTGCAGTGTTAGTCAGTGACTGGCTGCTCCCATATGGGATCAGAACGATGCCACCTTATCCCACAGTCCAGCCAATGATGCGATTCACATTCGTATATACGCAGCTAATCAGCATCGCTGACAGGCTGTGACAGCGTCCTCATGTGCGACACCGGTGTTTTAGCAAAGCGGCTGATGTGGCGTGAAGCCACGTTAATGACAACGTGTACAACCATTGGAGATGTGAGCAGGACAGACGGAACAACTGACGGACAAAGTGTGGACTTTATACCAGTTTTTAAATTGTGTTGATCGGCCACGTAAAACCAGAGTTATGATAAAAATATCTGCAATGTTTGTTTCTTCCTGAATACTGTCGTTGTTTATATTTACTGCAGGAAGAAACGGTAAAAACGGCGTTTTATAAGGAAAACGCTCAAAAGTCTATAACTTTAATGTCAGCCAAATCAATTTACTCAGGAACAAATCAAACACTGAAATAAACCAAACATTAACATTTAGAAGAGATCTAAGTGACTTCCCAGATAGCAAGGAGACATTGAAACAATGTTTAGTCAACATCAGGGGATTCCACTGAAGCAACGTTGAAATGTGACGTTGACCTGACGTCACTCTTGCACCCTTTTTTAAATATTGAAACGTCAGGTTTTGATATTGAATCAATGTTCAACACTGACATTGATTCAATGTCAAATTTTCAAACACTGTTAATATTGAAACAATGTCAGATGCTGATATTGAATCACTGTTGATTTTCCATCACTTTTGCACCCTTGGTTACTATTGAAACAATAAAGTCATGATTAAAAATCAGTACTTCACAGGTATTTGTATCAATACTAAACCGCTGCAAATTAAAATCAATACTTAAACGTGCAAAAAAGACAATTGTGTATGATCCATAAATAGGAAACCTATTATATGCTGCACAGTCTTACAATTTGTCATGTCCATAATAATATCCCTATAATATGAAGCAGGGGCGGAGCGTGGGGGTGGCTTACTGGGCTTAAGCCGGGTTGTTTTGTCAGAAGCCCGGGGTCTTTTGGAGTGTAATTTTTTCATAGTTAGATGTCTGGCTGACAACTGTATAAAACAAAAAGTACACACAATATTCGAAGCACATAGCGCACACTGTGGGAATTTACGACTGTGCGTGAATCCCCCCTGATATTGGTATGATCCGAGCTCAGGCACTAAGACTGAGCGAGGGGG